TGCTCAGAGGCCCTCTCATAGACTAAGAGGACAACTGCTTAGTTCCTGTGCTTTGTTGGTTCAACAGGACCAGGAGAATTATGACACAGTGATTTTAATATTTTTGTCATTAAACCCAAAACTCACCAGAACAGATAAGTAGAAAGAGAGGGTGGCACTTGGATAGAAATTTTCCTGATGATTCAACAGATGTAGTTCATAGAAAATGCCATCTTCCTCTGCCTTTCACCCAGAGATTCAGGGAAGGGTCGAATTTCCTGAATTTCCCTGCAAAAGGATAGGGACTAAAAATCATTTTCTAAATACTTCTGTTAGGAGTTGCAAGGCAGAGGCTGGCAAATATCTGAGCGTGACCTGTTTCTTTTCTCCCATCTAGCCTGAGTCAGGATTGTTCAATGATTCTGAGCAGTATCAAAGGAGAAGAGCACCCGTCTGCAGCATGCAGCTTCTATTAACTCACTCTAAACGTGTGATCTGGAATGAATTATGAATGGTGTGTTGTGTAGATCAGTGTTTCCTAGAAAACAAACTCTGAAGTCACTGGAATTTGATTTGCAAAAACTGTGCTGCTTCCACTGCCACCACACGTTCTTGCTGTTGTCCGTGGTCCAAGTGTACTGCCTCTCTTTCCAAAGAGTCACTCAATGTCTCCCTTCCCAGGTGCCCACCCTAGACATACATTGACTGGGCTGGATGCTGGGCAGGTAAAAATTGTCAGACAGTCCCAAGCCCCAAAGAGTTTACTATCTCAGTTTAAAAAAAAAAACCCAACATACAAAGGACGATGCAAAAGATGCATCACACATGCCTGAAGACTAAGAATGTGTCAATGGTGGAGGCTGGAAAAGAGCCTCAGTCATCTGATTTCTGTCCTGGTGCTTCCATCACCAGTCTTCACTGCCCATCTGCATTGAAGCCTGGCAATTCGAGGCACTTTATCAATGAATTCTAGTGGGTTACTGGGGTTATTTGTCTAAAACAAAGCATAAAGAAGGTTTGTGATCTCCAAGACAAGAGCTATCTCAGAAATGAAAGGTAAAGTGCTGTTTTAAAAACTGATTCCCAGAAATAAACAGCCACACCTATGTATTTCATACTGTCTGGTCCAATCCTCAGATGTATTTTCTGAGTGAGCCCAGCCTCCTAATCCTCAGGTATTAGATTTAATTGTGGTTTTAAGGCTGCTGGACTTTTTTTTCTTGCCATGCTGAGTGGAAAGATAGTGGCTCATTAATCATGAGCGGCTCAGTCTGACTCTTGTTACCTTGCTCCTTTTACAGCTATGTAAAGCTGATGCGAAACACTACTATTCTGGATTAATTGGCGCTCCATACTCACACTGCACTGGCAAAAATGTCTAGGTTAGACACAGGGCAGTGGAGAAGCAGGCCTTTGAGATAGACAGATAGCTAGATAGACAGATAGACTTAATCAGAAGCAATAAAAATTAGATAACAAAATTCGCCACTTATGGCATGATGTCTTTTAAACTCTTTCAAAATACGTTTCTTACAGTATATCCATGATTAACACAAATTATGGAGGAGTGTAATTTCTTCTCCCTCCAGAATGAAGTCATTTTAATGTAACTTATGTTTAATCAAAATATCCCCCTTTAAAATCTCTCTGTCTTGCCGTATGGCTTTTGTGGTTTGGGGCAATTTGAGGTTTTAATTTGTTGGTATTAGAGCCAAGAAAAAGCAATGGCAGCAGCATCTCTAGTAAAACAGGAATCATTCGCATTTGTCAAAGCAGATAAAAGATTTTTGATCACTTCAAACACTTTACTTAGTTATTTTCTTTACAGGAAGATTTAGCTGCCATTATGTAACATCATCTCATAGAATCCTCACTCCCTTCGCTCAGTCCATTCAGATCCTAGGGAGAAATTCTGTTGTAAAACGTAAGGAGAGAGATTAAGAATCACTAAGTAATACCAGAGCGATCCATTGGTTTGAGAATGTTCAGGCCATTACTAATGAAACGACAAGCTATATTATTTTCAAAGATATTAAAACATGCGCGAGCCCCATAGTCTTCACTAGATTTTACCAGCGTTGCTTATCTCTGGACTTGACAAGCTATCATGTCAGGCACGATGGCTGATCTCTTGGCCTCCGATGGGGCACCAGAGAGAGCTCTTTTTATGACCCCTTTGGCACGAATGAATGTGAGTCTCCTTAGAAAAATACACTCGCTGAATTCAGAGCTATTGAATTTTGCTTACAGCTTGCTAGATCTTGTATCAGATAATCTACAAAGAAAAATAAATCAGCAAGAAAAAGGGTGGGGGCAATATAAATCGGGGATAGCAAATATAAATCTAAGCCAATGACATATTATGCACTCATTTGTGACAAGTTGCTAAATTTCTGCTTCCTGAGCAGCTGCCAGTCATAAATCTGTCAGGGATGGGTGCCAGTGAACAAATTGTCAGGTCCGATCCTCAGACATTTCTGCACTTCTTTGGATCAGCCAAGGGACTGGGGAACTGTGATGGGAGCTTTATTCAAAGGCTGCTCTCCATTGTCTTTTTCTTTCGTTCTCTACAGACTTTCTTCTAAAACAAAAAGCAAAGGCTTTTCAATAGTGAAGCTTGGAATGACTATGGAGCAAATGCAAGACAGGTTTTAGGATTAGGTAGTAATTCAACAGAGAAACAAAATTAAACTGGAGAAGAATTACTGGGATTCTTCCTGTCAATACCATTGCTCAGACATGGTTTTATGAAATTTTGAAAGCAGACCCATGCTTCTAAAGCCAAAAAGCTTCTTGAATGCCCATCCCTAGGAAAGAGCTCTGGATGTCGTTAAATACAGAGAGAAGGAAGCAAATGCTTCACATCCATTCAACAGGGGGGTCCTGCTCTGCTGAACCGGGGACTGAAATGTCTCAATTCCTTCTGAAGGCAAGGTGTGCACACACGGGGGCTAATGGCAAGAGAGATCATGGGTGTGATGTTCTCTACTGATGACACTGCTAGCATGTACCACTGCAGAGACCTTAAATGTCCTATCACAACTGGTTGTTTCTTCCCTTTAGTATAGTAAAACATCACTCTTAAAGATACTTGCTGTGCAAGGTCAGACTGAAGGTTGTCCTAAGCAAAAAAAACCACACTCAGGACAGATATTCCTACACCAAGAGGAGAACTGCATTTTGAGTCAGCATAAAGAAAGGGGCCTTCTTCACAGACCCCTTAAAATGCAAAATGGTTTTATTCCCCTCTCTGCTTCTTACCTGTGAGTGCTACCTGACTTAATTCAGTATCAGCATTTCTTTCTGCAGCTTGAATTCTCAGGGCTCGGTGATTCTGCAGCAAAAATGGCCATACCACCCTAAGAACGCCCGATCTCTATGAAATCTGCTTCGGGCTGAAATGGAGCAGACATGCTGAGGCCGTTAGGAACATTTTCATGAGTTCTTGGTGCAAGATGCTTTTTGTTTCTCATTTTACTCATACTGAAGACAATTGGAATATTAACCTCTACTTAATTAAGCTCTGAGTGTTAACAATATCACACAGAAACTGACTTTAACCACTTAAAAGACTCTTCGATGTATTTTTCAGGGAGACTGTTGATATGCTAAAGTCAGTAACATTAAAGTGAAAACATACAGAATCTGTAACACACTTACCTAGGATCACAAAGCACATGACAAACACCAGCTGGTATTTTTTAACCTATTTTACAGATGGAGAAACTGTGCATTGAGAAATTTCCCTGTTTAAAAGGAGAATCTGATGAAAAGATACCCAAAGTCCTGCTTCTCAATTTCCGTAACTTCCAGATTGTTTATCTTCCAGACAACTATTTATATTAGACATTGATTTTAGCACACACCAGCATGCATATTAGATCATCATGTAATAATGCCGTAGAAGCCCAAAGCATTTAGGGGAAGGTACTGTGATTTTTTAAATCTGTAACAACATCTAGGTTCTGATCTCTTCGGCAACAAAGCTGGATTTGAAAAGGCTCCAGGGAGAACTTACTGTGGCCTTTCCATACTTAATGGAGGCTTATAAGAAAGATGGGGACAGACTTCTTATTGGGGCCTGTTGTGATATGACAACAGGTAATGGTTTTAAACTGAGAGACGATTTAGATTAGATGTCAGGAAGAAATTCTTTTCTGTGAGGATGGTGAGGCACTGGCACAGGTTGCCCAGAGAAGCTGTGGCAGGCCCTTCCCTCGGGATGGTCCAAGCCAGGGCG